TCAATTGTATCTCCAAAGATCCCAAAATGAGAGGTCTAGAAGAACGTAAGTAATTTCTATGCAAAGGTTATCCTTTCTAGACCTGGCTCTCCTTTATATATTAGGTGATATTTATGCCTTTGCAAAGAATCATTAAGTGATGGCAAATTGAAAAGACAAGACCTCAGCCCCACCCTCCCTGTGAGGTGAGAAACAGGGAGCGTCTCATTCCCAATCAATAGTCTCTGATGAGACCTTTCCCAGCAGGAAATGGGCTTTAGCCCATTTTCTTCCTCTCAGCATCCTATCAGTCTTGAAAGGATCTGCTATTCCACTCCCTCAGACCAGCGGGGAGGAGGACTCATCTCACTATCCTCTTTCTCTTGTCTCTAAGTAATCATGTGTGCAGAAAGGAGAAAACTGCACTATTACAGGAGTTTCTTGTTAGGCAGCACTACAAGCTTAGAGTTATGAGAACCCCCCCGTATACCATGAACCCAGTGTTTTAGGTGCTGGACAAATAAGTTTCTTCCTACTAAAATCTTACAATCCTGGAAGGGAAGGAGGTCACAGGGATTTGTCATTAAACACAGACAGGGACATGATTAAACCTTTTCAGCTTCAGAGTCTCTTCTTGTCTCACAGTGTATCATGTCTCAGCCCAATGACCTTTCCTGCCTCAAATGTACAATTGTGCTTTTATTTAAGTAATTCCAGTAGAAACTACTGGTTATATTTTACTTCCATGAGGTATCACTCACACTTCTCTCACTTATAACTGTGCACTGACAAAGTCCTGCCTCTGATTTTTCTAAGTGTGTTGGGCTTTCCACACATCTGGAAACAGCCATTATCCAAGTGAATGGCTTCTCTGCTGTCTGCACACCTTCTCTGGAGCTGAGCAGCTCCAAAAAGATCTGTCCTCATCATCTTCACAAACCTTTTCTGTTCAAAGGAAGGAAATTACTAGAGTTTGAATGCTGTATAAGTGTTTGAAGCCTTCTCTTTATAAAAATTTGTCAATGAGGATTAGTTCTTATTGGATCGTGAGTGAAGGATTAATTACACTGACCACAGATGGGCATGGTATAAAGAATATCAGTAAACTCCCCATGCTGCTCCCAGAAAGTACTTTAATTATGGCCTGCATAAATTTCTACTCCAGTTTTCTGACTCCCTTAAGCAGAGACTACCAACTGTCCTAAATTGCTTGGTGGTTTGTTGAGGTGGAAATGTATCCTCTGTGGACTAAACTCATTACTAGGAGGTTTATTAGCAAGAAGGTAGTCTAAGTCCATTAATAAATGAGGAGTGAGGCAAAATCAATTATGATTTTAATATGACTGAACCACTAAGCTGCTTTTTTTGAATCTATGATTTAAAGTGAAATAAAAGGGTATGGGCGATTAAGGAGCAATGATGATCATAGTTGGTACAGTTATTGATAAATGCAGGTAAGTAAATACCTGTAAAAAATAATGCACAAATCAGCAGTTCCCTCATCTTAAGGAAATTTGTGAACATATGGAATCACTAGGAGGTAGTTTTGAAAGCTAAACCACTGGGCCTTGGAATAAAATAAAGGATGTAAAGCTCAGATTATAAAGTGCAGGGGAAGTGAGCAGGTCATTTACCTTGTAGTAAATATAATCTGCCTGTCCAGTAAAATGATGAAGCTATTAGGACAGAAAATCTGAAAACTGGTAGCAAAGAAGTATACTACATAAGTAGCAAGTACCTATTCCAAACTGGGCCACAGCAACTTGTGTATTGTGGCTGTTCTCAGCTGCATGGCAGACAGGGCAGATGAAATACAGAGGACAGAGGTCATATTTCTGAATGTTAAGAAAATATTAGGATGTGTGCTTCACTATATTGCCTTTGGAAAATGATGCCAAGTGGTAGAGATGGGACACTGTTACATGGGCTGAAAATGGCTAAAAGTTTCTAAAGTGAAAGTGGGGATGAATGACAACAACAGGTTTCTCTCTGGGGAGTTTGGGTTTTTCCAGGAATTGTCACAGGTCTAGTTTTCTACAGCATCTCTTTTAGCAGTCTGGAAGATGGAATACATAACATATGAATACAAGTTAGAAAAGATAGGAGTTGGAGAAGATCCAATAATAACAATATTTCAACTATTTCAAGTATGTTGAGGGTCTGGAGATATGAATGTAGCAAAGAGGAAATGAGTAGTGTAAGGACTACAGATGTACTGAAATGAAAGGGAGCTGCAACATGGAAGCATGCAACTTGCCACTTAGCAGTGCTTACGTGAAAGCACACTACTACTTCTGGAACAAAAACCAAACCAAAATGGAACAAAAGTCAAATAGGAACTAACAACTGAGGTGGGAGTATGGTGTGGCTACAAGTCGCCTGAGCACTAAGGGCACACAATCTAGCCATGCAGGCTCAAGGCTTAGTTACAGATACGCTCTGCTCAGACATTTAGGAAACAAAAAAACAAAACAGAAACCAAGCCCCATGGGTGAGATAAAAATGGTGAGTGGATGAAAGGGACTTAAAACACCACCAAGAAACCCAACTGCCCTGTTTCAGCCATGTCCTACTCCATTATCATACACATACGATCATTTCTTCCTGCTGAGAGTCTTTGTAAGCCTGTGTTTGTCATTTCCAGCTGTTGCTGAGTGAAGTTTCACTGATGTATTTTTATACCTGCTAAATGTCACAGTGGAATATGAGATGTCAGATTTTTTTTAATATTATTTTTATTTTTTAATGCTTCAAGTCATTTGGGATTTTATACAAAGAAGAACTTTCTTTTTTTTAATGGACTTTGAGTATTTTCTGTGCAACATTTTTTATACTGTTTTTCACTCACACTCTCCAGTAGTTGAAGATTGCCAGTATGTATTAATGGAAGCATACATTTCCAGTATCAAGCAGATAACTATAATTTGATTTATTCTATGATTACAGTGGTTGGATTCCTAGGCTGGTTTGGAGAACAGACTTGACTAAAGAGAGGATTTGATCCACTAGTCACATATACCAAGAATAAGGTTCCCATTTTATTCAGTCAGTAGGGGTCAGTCTTGGAAAATTTTGCTTGACTTGAAGAATAGTCATCTAGGGAAATTTTGCTGACTTCAGGAAGATAATTTTGAATCATTCTTTAAAAGGCAATGTGTTTTGATTTTCATCACTTCTTGTTAGAAGACCAAGTTCTTCATCAGAAGGTCTTATTGAATTTTAGGGTAAAATTTTGCCTTTTAGATCTTTGAAATGATGGAATTTGAATTCCTGACATTCTTGACAGCTTTATAAGGAAATGTAAACAGTTGTATTTAATATAATGAAATGTTACATTAATTTTCTCTACCTTAAATATTAGAAGTACATTTTCTTTGTACTGGTCAAACGATTTATTGGACTGGCTGAAATGTTTGCATTCTTACCATAGCCTTTTCATAAATATTTAGTTTAAAAGATTACTTTCTAGAACAAATTCTACTGAAGAAAAATGTAGCATAAAAATTTTCTAAAAGTATATATAACATTAATGGCTAAGCAGAATCTATTAAAAAAGCTCTGTTACTGGTTTAACAATAAAAAGTGTCAAATTCTTCTGGCTTGAGTTTTGTAACCTCAGTCTTCTCATATGACAGAACTTGTTACAGCTATCAGCTGATTGCTCTTCGTGTCCATAAACTTAGTCTCTATGGAGAGATAAAAATGTCTAGGAGTTTTATACTCATTTTTGCCATCAACCAATTGGATTCTGAAAAACATAAAACTGAATTAATTTCTGGGATAAGGGGTTAGCTTCTCTGAATACCAAGTTAAAACCGATGGGGATCTTCCCCTGAAAGTGTGGAAATAAACTAACAATAAATCAGAAGTCATGGGATGCAAAACTGGAAAATTTCATCGAGGTTTAAAAAAATGTATTGGTGTCAACAGTCTTGGAGATGATGACTGAAAAGAGGCATTTTAATTAAGCAGGTTTGAATAGGCCAAACTTGTTGAAAGCCTGTGAGTCTGAAATGTGGCTTACAGCTATGCACATCTTTTTGAGATTTCAATGCAAGCATCTCTTCCAGCAAAAGATCATCAAGCACACTTACGCTGAGTGGTTGTCACCCAATGTCACCCAAATAAAGAAGTGGAACACAGTGAAGTCACATCTTATTCTCTGACAAAACTCATGAATAAAGTGCTTCAACATAGCACCCAAAATTGTCTAGGCTAGGGAGCACTGTGCTGTACCCAGCGAGCAGGGTATCAACATCTACAAGGAGCCACATTTGGTCTGTCATTAAGGACTCCAGCTGACTGCTGACCTCCAGTTCACCTACTGGTGGTACCAATATCTGTTTCACAACCAGATGCTAAATGTTCTTGGCCTGTTTCCTATATGCTGTTGTAGAACCAGAAGGGATTGTGTGGCCTGTCCTTTGGGAAGGGTTCTCCTATTTTTGTCCCTGATGCAAATATGGAATGACCTCTGGTTTTGGTCTCTATCTTTTTAAATGATGTTTACCATTTTTAGATTTTTGGTGTAGCATTTACTTTTTTCACAAGTACAGTTTCCTTTGATATAATCTCTCCCCAGCTAGTGAAACTTCCGTCTTTTCATGTGTTTCTGTTTGAGTTATTTTTAACCAGGTTTAGAAATGACACAATACCTTACAAGCTTGACCACTCCCATGGCTGTGCAGTATTAGCATGATAATAAAACAGAATCAGAGAATCATAGAATAGTTTGGGCTGGAAGGGACTTTTAACAATCATCCAGTTCAATCCCTCTGCAATGAGTAGGGATGTCTTCAACCAGACCAGGCTACTCAGAGACCTGCCCAACCTAATCTTGAATATTTCCAGGGGTGTGGCATCCACAACTTCTCTGGGCAACCTCTTCCAGTGCTTTACCACTCCCATTGTAAAACTTCTTTATATCTAATCTAAATCAACTCTTTCTAGTTTAAAACCATTGTCCCTTGCTCTATCACAACATATCTCACTAAAAGGTTTATTCCATGTCTTTCTTACAGGCTCCCTTTAAGTACTGGAAGGCTGCTCCAAGGCCTCCCTGGAGCCTTCTCTTCTCCAAGCTGAACAGCCCCAACTCTCCCAGCCTGCCTTCGTAGAAAAGGCACTCCAGCTCTCTGATTATCTTTTTGACTCCCCTCTGGACTCACTTTAACAGATCCATGAACTCAGGACTCCAGGTGGGGTTTCATGATGATGCAAACACATGAACACATCAAGGTATCAGTTGCCAAATAAGTTGCTTCAACTGGTGATATGCATGTACTTGGATTGTCCAGCCATGACACAGCAAGAGGCATGGAGAACAGCTTAAGCTAAATAATTGTGGCTACTAGGAACAACATAAGTGTACTGTGGAGAGTTGACTACACTGACCAGCCTATTAGTGTAAGTTCTGTACAACTTAATCATGGGCTAGAATGAGACGTGTAGAGGTACTGTCAGAAACAGGGATGAAAGTCAAAGGTAGTTATAAATTACAGACTGTAAATCAGCACTTTTAGCATATGGCGAAGGCTTGGGCTCGGACCATCCTGCCCACAGATACTGGCTGAGGTGATTTCTTGCTTTCTAGCCTGAGGCTTCTGTCTTTCTGGTGGAGGCATTTCCAGGTCTCAGCATCAGTTCCCAGTCTAATATTTTCACACTTCTCACACCAGACCACCCCTGTGTGTCAGTTCAAAGTGATCCCTGTGTGCTGGTACACAACCTGCTCTTTCTTACCTTCATATGTTTCCATGTAGTTTCCACAGAAATGTGACATTGTAACAGGGAAGGGAGTTGGGGATGGGAATCTTGCTAATATAGGACTGAACAAACTTCTACACACCCAAACACACTCGTTTCTTTTTCAAAAGATCTGTAGAAATAAATGTGATTAACCATGTAATTAAATAAAGAAAACTGAAAGGCCTTTAAATCAATTAATTAAAAAGCAGAAGCTGAGAGGTCTAAGCCATTCACTTTCTCCCCCGAACGCACTTGGCAGAATTCAAGTGATACAAGGACTGTCTGAAAAACTGCAACCCCACTTCTACCTGAAAACTTGGTACTTGCTTTTGTTTTGTTTTGTTTTGTTTTGTTTTGTTTTGTTTTGTTTTGTTTTGTGTGTGGGGGAGAGGGTCCTGAACTGAAGTACATTTGAGAGCTTGTTTATACTCTCTGTGTATTTCTTTCTTGACTGTTATGTGGGCAACTGATTATGCCACTGCTTACAAGGTACTGGAGGAGCTGATAGTGATGGAAGAAGTTGGAGTAGAAGCTAGAAGGGACATGGAAAGGTGTTATGAGGCAAGCCTGATTGATTGTCCTGTTGCCTGCAATCAGCAGGTGAGCAGAGAGAGCATCCCATCTTATTCATAAGTCAAGAGCAATCTGAGCACACGGCATAGGCTTTCTGCATAGAGCATAATGAGAGACTTGTGATCTAACACCAGCCTTGGGACATGAAGAATGCATCTTCACTTAAGTTACAACCTGTATAAGCTGGGGAAAAGGGATCTTAAAGGTTGGAGTTGTCAACTGCAGAAAGATTGGGTTACTTATTTTCTGATTTTATTCTTGAAAGAAAATTTCCCATTTAAAGAAATGAATATTGTGTCTTAAACAGCATACACATAAAGCATAAAAATATTAAATGAAGCTATTTATTATTCTCATATATATGTTTTCAGATACATATTTTCTGATCACCGGTATGATTTGTTATCAGTGTTGCTCCTGCACTCTTGTCATGGTTTAACCGCAGCCAGCAACCAAGTACTACACAGCCACTTCCGTACTTTCCCCCCACAGTGGGATCAGGGAAGGGTAAAAGTTAGAAAACTCATAGGTTGAGATAAAGACAGTTTAGTAGGGAAAGCAAAAACTGTGTATACAAGCAAAGCAAAACAAGGAATTAATTCACTGCTTTCCATGGACAGGCATCTCCAGGAGATGATTCAGCCATCTCCAGGAGAACAGGGCCCCATCACACGTAACAGTTACTTGGGAAGACAAATGTCATCACTCTAAAAGTCCCCCTTTCTCTTTTCTTCCCCCCAGAATAATATACTGAGCACGATGCCATACAGTAGACAGTATTCCTTTGATCAGTTGGGATTACGTGTCCCATCTGTGTCTCCTCCCAACTTCCCATGCAGCCCCAACTCCCTCACCAATGTGGCAGTACGAAAAGCAAAAAAAGCCTTGGCTCTGTATAAGCACTGCTTGTCAATAAGGAAAACAGCTCTATATTATCAACCATGTGTTCAACACAAATCCAAACCACAGCCCCATACTAGACACTGTGAAGAAAATTAGCAGCCCAAACCATCACAACTCTTTACCAATTTTGCCCTGGAAAAGGATGTAGTTCAGGACAATTTTCAAAAGGGAGAGTGGATGGACACTGTGATCCCACAGGATGGAATATATTAGAGTTTCATGGTTTACAGATAAAGTCTTTAACTACTTATACTTGAGTCATTCCTCTTAGCTCTTCATTTAAATTTTACCTCTTTCTCTTTCAGTAGATCAGAGTTTTGTGCTGTTGTGAAAAACTACACTGCAAAAAGTACTCAGCCTAATAGTTCCCATACTTCTTTCTTGGGTGCCCCAAAGTCATTTTGGTTTTCTTGTACAGATGCTTATAGTAAGTGAAGCTTAAACTCTGTATTTGTGGGTGAAATTCCAGCCATACTGATGTTAGTTCTCCTGTCTCTGTATTCTGGAGATGAGATTTGTGTCCAGTGGAAAGTCTTCGTGTGCTGGTTGAGCTCACTCTCACTGTTGTGCAGCCTCTCCTGAAATCAGCTGTTGGTGATATGAAGGCCATCAGAGTTCTGGTTATGACCTTGATGCAGAGCTCACTGAAATTCATGGAAAAGATCCCAGTAACTTCACAGGTTTTGGCTCAAGGTGTGTTTTTGAAAAGGCTGAGAGACTCTGCGCTTCATCATTCTACTCTTGTAAATTCTACAAAGCACTGTTGTCATCAATGAACTTGTAGTGGTGTAAATGGATGATGATTTAGGACATAAACTGTTTTGTTTATTTTTTTTATTCTTAGCATCTTACACATGCTAAGGAATAAAAACATTATGTTAAACTGATAAAAAAACCAGTTTTATAGAACATAAGAAAAAAACAATATTTTTGGGAAGTAGCAACCTGGAAACCACAAAAGGAAGAAAGACAGTATATTTGTCCAAACATGCAATATCTGGAAGACCATAATATAGTAAGACTTCAGTTGCACATCTCATGTGGACTACATTTATTACCTAACTATTTTATTGTCCGAAGATCCGGGGAAGGTCTTTACACCTTCCAGCCTGCGCATTGGATTTTTTAGGTGAGACACAGTGTGCGCGGAACTGAGCCCACCCTTTAATCCTAAGGTTCATCTGCCAGGGCCAAGCGAGCTTGGATGGTGGCAGCGAGGTCCTCAGGATGTAGATGGGTTGCCTTTAAGGGCTAATGAGCTCCATCTGCCCGGGAGTGGCCCTGATCGGGAATCGAACCCAGGCCTCGGCGGTGACAGCGCCACGCCCTTAACCACTAGACCACCAGGGGCTCGTTAACCCTGTAAAAAGGCAATCCATCTACATCCTGAGGACCTTGCTGCCACCATCCAAGCTCGCTTGGCCCCGGCAGATGAACCTTAGGATTAAAAGGTGGGCTCAGTTCCGCGCACACTGTGTCTCACCTAAAAAATCCAATGCGCAGGCTGGAAGGTGTAAAGACCTTCCCCGGATCTTCGCTCATGAAGACTGGCCATTATATTATTATTATTTTATTGTAGATTAAATTTTGCATGCTTTTCAGGCCAAGAAATATCAAGGACAGTAAAAGAAAAAGTAAAATGATTTTCCTGATGACATTATCTGGTGGCTTCAGAATTTTACAAACCAAATCTTTTCTAGGTTTGGACCATCACATGGGTTCTGAGGGAAATCCTGCCTCAAATGAAGTTAATGAATTTTCAAGATATGGGTAGTAGTTTGAACAGATCAAAACAACCAAAGGTTTGGATTTGATTCATAGTGCAAAACAGCTCTCAAGTCCGTCCTTCTTTCAGCAGTTTTTTAGAGCACTTTAAGGCTGAAGAGAATAACCTGATGAGATTGTGTACAAAAGAGAATACAGGGATGGGGGTTTTTCTGAGTGGAACACATTTTCTTGGCCTTCATCCTCTAGATGAGTTAGTGGAGCTGAGACTAGAGGAAAAGAGGTAATGCAAAAAGGAAAACCATTCTTACAATTGATAGGATATAATTTTTATTCAGACTCCAATATTCTTTGAAGTTGTCCTAAACTATTGCATAGTGTATGGGAATCACTGTTCATCATGGACGAAAAATTCTTCTTGAGACAGAAACACAGCTTCTATTGAATGGAGCATGACCTTTCAAAAATTACTGGAATCTTTTGTACATCTACTCAGACACCAGTCATTAAATTAATCTCTCTGGTAACTAAGATGAGGTGAATGGAATTGTTATCTAAAGAATAAATCTCCATGATATTTTTCCAGGTATTGAATGAGCATTGATTATTTTTAAAGAGGACCCAACAAATTAATTAGCAACAATTTAAATGTATTAGAAAAGAAAGAAAAATAGAAAGAATAAAAGCCTTGCTGAGTATTTATTCTTTTACTGCCCATGATTACCTTATATATACATTGATTTATATAGTGCATCATGTGCATATATGGATACACATATGTACCCATTTATGCAAATATACATATGTGAGACAACAGTATGTTTTTAATGAAAGATCAAAACCAAATATTTGATTAAAAAAATGCAGGTCCTAAGACATAGTAATACTAGGAGCTACAGGAAGTCGTGTTGGATGAAAAAGGAGAAGAAACATGTCCAATGTTTTAGCCAATTGCCTTTGCAAAGGCACATGTGTGTGATGAATATGTCAGAAACATGATTTGTGCATTTATTTTGGAAGTAGTTGCATGTGCAGTCACTTCAAAATTCAGCTTTCTGTTTTGTCTCTGAAAAGGCGATGACAGAGATTTCACATCTTGTGCTGTCTAGACACCTGAAATTTAGTCTTAAATTTGTAAATATCTTTCCTGAATTTAGGGTCTTTGACATCCCCTTGCCTTCTGTTTTTATTTTTAATGTAGTGATTG